CTGCTGACTGAGCTCCAGACCTGTCCGGACTCGGTAGTCCCGTTGGCAGCACCTCCTGCTGGCATAGGCACAGAATGTCTGTAATGCTGCCCCCCGGCTCTCTAGCGCCTCCTTCTGCCTGGCAGACAGACTGCTCCATTCCTGCCAGGGGAATTCATCTTAGCATGCAATTGGGCAGGGTCCTGTTCACACACACGTGTGTGTGTGTGTGCGTGCGTGCACGGCCCTTTTCACACACGTGTGCCTTTCCCACCCCAGTCCCTGCTAACGAGGCAAAGGTTGTTCTCTCTCAGACTTCCCTTTCAACCATCCCCACGCCCCCAGCAGAGCTGGTATCTGGCTCCCAGGACCTGGGGTTGAACTGTTCCTGCAATCATTTCTCTTTCTGGTAAGAGTGTGTCATCCCCCTTCCCTTCCCATGGTTTCCGCTAAATAGGCTCTGAGGTTCATGCCAGACAAATGGCTGCTCTCCTCCACTGCACACGCCGCAGGGAGCCCAGAAGGAAAGCCGTCCAGACGTAGGGAGCTTTCCTTTCCGAGTTGCTGCAGCCTGGCTCCGTTCCTGCGTCCTGCCTAGCCCAAGATCAATGGGTCCAGCTGTGGCCCCAAAAGCACTGTTATCCTCAGAAGCAGACACACCCTGTCTGGCTGCTGCCACCCCTCCTCCCCCTTCCCCCCCCTCAGCTGTTTTCTTTGCCCTTCTCTGGTGCTGCCTGGCTGGGCAACGGCTGCTGGGAATGGGGCCTATGTGTCTGAGCGTGGGCATGTGGAGGCAGGGCCTGTCAAAGAGGAGCTGAGTGGGCTTGATCTGCCTGAAGCTGCAGCTCAGCCCCGCCCCCGCACTGTTCATCTGTTGCTTGTGTGGGAACGTGCAGAGACACTAAATGTGCCCCCAGCACAGAAAGTGCTTGTGCAAGGGCCAGAAGTGGCACCCAGGGGCCACACATGAGGGCAATGGAGCTGGGCGGGGAGGTGGTGGTGGACATGGCTGTGTGGCCTACTTTAATGGGTGTCACGACGCCAAGGACGGAGCTCAGATGCCGTGGGGATAAACACGGTGGGTGGTGGTTCCCAGAATGCCTAAGGGATTTAGGAGCTGAAATCTGAGAGGCATTCAGCCCCCTCCAGCTCCATTGAAACATCACCACTCATGTCTCTCAGTGGTGGTGCACAGATACCAAGGTGAGGGGCACAGTCGAAGGGCCCTCAGCCGGAGCGAGAGCACCTAACAAACGTGAGTTCGTGGCAGAGTCCGGGGCTGCCTGTGCTACCTACTGCGGGGGTGCATCTGGTGTACTCAGCTCGTGGGTGTGCACTGGCCCGTTGCATGGGCATGTGCACACCCATCTCTCTGCTAAGGTGAGGGCAGGCGCACGTGGGACTGGCGCCAAAGCCCGCAGAAGGCAATGGGCGTCTTTCCGTTCACGGCCGCGGGCTGTGGCATCGGTCCCTAGGCTGACACTCTGCGTTGATGTGCGTGTGCGCACACGAGGCACAGACCGGTCTGTGTGTTCCCAGATGCCTATAGGGGCGCGGTGCGCGCCTGTGTGTGTGTGCGCGCCTGTGTGTGTGTGTGCGCCTGTGTGTGTGTGTGCACATGCGCAAGGTTGCACAGATCTCTGTTGCATCATTAACCACCACGTTCCCCTCCTGCCCAGCCCCCCTCGCCGTTCTCCACCGCTGACAGCCCCAGCACAGAAGGAGAGATGAACCCCACCATCAGCATCGCTGTCATCCTAACAGGTAAGGCCGGCGGTGCCGTTCTGCTGCCATCTAGTGGCCGTGCTCGGTGCGCGGTACAGGACCCGTAAATAAATGCTTCGCGTCAGAGTGAAGCCGCATCCTGCCAGCAGGGGGCCAGGCGAGAACCAGGGATGGGGAGAGCTGGATGGCTCCACAGGGCCCGCGAGCCGGCTTTACCTGCTGCAGGCTAACGGCGTCTCCACTAGTTGGTGGCTGAGTCCTCATTTTGCAGGCGGGACGTCCTGGCTTCTCTAGCCCTGTGTGCAGGTGGTTTCGCCAGAAACGGCCAGGCCCCCCGCCCCTCCCCGCCTGACCCTTTTGGCCTGTCCCAGTGCTGCAGGCCGTGCACTGCCAGAAGATCCGGGACCTGAGCGCCTGCTTGCTGGGCACGAGCCTGCGTGTGGACTGTCACTATGAGAACAAGACCGCCAACCCCCTGACGTACGAGTTCAGCATGTTCCGGGAGAACAGGAAGCGGGTGATCCAGTCCACCCTGAGCGTCGCCGAGAACAGCCTCAAGGTGCGCTCCAACGTCACCCTGTCCAAGAACCTGGTGTGCCTGCAGCTGCACAACTTCGAGAACACGGACGAGGGCACCTACATCTGCGAGCTGAAGATCACCGGCGACCTCACCGGCAACCAGGTCAAGAACATCACCGTCCTCAAAGGTGGGCAGGGGAGGGGAGCCTGGCCCCCGGGGGATCCCCCTCCTGGGCCTCTCGCCCAGCTAGAGACCTCCCTCTGCCCTCCAGGGCTCTGCTGCTGACCGCCCAAGGCACCCGCCCACCAGGGCACGGATCGCCGCCGGCCCGCCCGATGCCCTCTGACCCTCTGCCCTGTGCTCAGTGCTCCTCTTAGATGGGGGAGGGGAACCGGTGAGCTGGTGCCGTGGTGGGGGTGCCAGCGCCAGCTCCCTGCTGCGGGGGAGAGCCCCGAGCCTC